GGAGAAAAAGGAAATATGTAAAATATTAACAGTGCAAGACAGGCTGTAAATGGGTTTCCTTAATGTATTGCAGGAGTGCAAAGGACTGGCAAATTTTTGGCTAGGCTAGAGAAGGCTTTCAGAGGACCTTAATGAGTCTTAAGAAATGGGCATTCTTCAGTGGATAAAGATAGAAAATATGACAAATATGATTCAGGTCACTGCAATAGTTCCCAGAAGCTAGAGAATAAAAAGACAGTGGGAATGAGAGGAGAGGTTTTAGAAAGGAAAGCAGAAGTCAGATCATAGGGATCTGATATGAAAAGCAGTGCTACTTGGACCTTATTCTGTAGGCAATGGGGAGCTACTGAAAGTAATATTTCCAAAGGCAATAAGAAAGTGGATTTAAAGAAGACAGCAAAGCCTTACATAAGAAAAGTCTTGGGGGTTTGGGGGAGGGATGGATGCAGATAGTTGTGGAAACAAAGTACCAAATGGACTAGAAACTTAACAGGTGAAGTTGATGTACAGCTGTACAGTGGAGAAAGAGATTTGTCTTTGAGTTGTGAAGTACGGTGGTGAAACAAGGAGGAAAGTTTGGATTTTAAGGGGGAGGTGATAAATTCAGCTTAGGACATGGTAAATTTCATGTTTTGGCTTAAGACAGGTGGAGATGACCAATAAATTGGTAATTGGGATCATAAGGTGAGAACTGTGAGTGGGAATCTCCTGTCAATGCAAAGGGGGTACACGTAATTAAGAGTTTTGCAAGATCACCTGCTATATATGCTATTAAAATTTAACATTAAAAATCCAGTTCCTTACTCACATTATTCACATAAATTGCTTAATAGTTACATGTACTTAGTGACTCCCATATTGGACAGCCCAGTCACAGAACATTTCCATCATCGTAAGCATTGTGCTTGGCAATACCAGAAAGTGAGTTACTGATCACAGGGAGGAAATGGAAGGCAGAGGAAGCAGGGTCTTCTGTAGACTCTGAGCAAAGGATAAACCAAGGTAGATGGAAAAAAGCAGGCCCAAAGATCCATACTGGACACTTCTTCACTTGTAATACTAACAGTGCCTACCATGAGCTAAATTTTGTAATGGGTGATTTCCATGTCACTTATTAAAATTGTACAATACTCAAGAGATTGTCTAGTTCCCATTTGCTACATTTTCAAGACTGCTACTGCCAAATTTTAATCATGTTCTTTTGCCAATTTTACTAATTTATTTGCATATACTATGCAAACATTATGTTTGTGTTTCCTTGGATAATTAAAGAATAATATTGCATTCTTTAATTATGATCCAAGAAAATTTGCACAAAGAGGTTGTTATTCAATGGTTGGCAAAACATGACCCCTTTTTGCTCAGGATGTTGGGCAATGTGCTAAAAAGGCCTTCTTCTGGCACATTCATTAAAACCAACTGTAAATCTTCCAAGACCTATAGAAGAGCAATTATCTCAAGAATCCTAGATACAGGTGAGAAATAGTCTGGGTCTGGAGAAAAATTGCTTCTACAAAGAAGCTTAACTGGTCAAGCTGCATTAGCCAAAAAATAATAATTATTTAGCTGTGGAAGGCACAATTGAACACCACAATTGATAGTGAGTTTTCAGTTTTCTCCACTATGTTAGTTTTACATGCAGAAGATGGTAAACTTCTTGAAGGCAGGTAATGCCTGAGACCTCTCAGAAAGTCTCCAGAGCAGATTTCAACCTGTGTAAATTGGAAGATTAAATTAGCAATGGAACTCTGGTATATCAAAATATGGTATAGGACTGTGTTGAGAAAGAGACAAGTTTTTTCAACCCATGTGTTTCTCTTTTAACTACAACATTTCAGTAGTTTTAAGTGACAGAGCAGTATCTTTTTGGAAGTCACACAAACACACACACACACACACACACACACACACATACGACCATTAAGCCAAGTCAGTATGTTTCATCCCAGGACATGTTAATACCATATGTAGGAACTTGGGACAGACTAAATCAACTCATTTGTCTGACTTTGCATGATTTAAATAATTAAATGACTATGATTTAATGATTGGCTTTATTTGTGATACATAGTGACAATAAGCCAAACTATGGGTAAAGATTGCTACTTAGAAATCATTCATCAATAAATTGATAATTGTCATGATTTTATAAGCTAGTCTCAAATACAAATCTAGTCCCTAGGTATTTCTGAGACTTGTCTGTTTGCTTTAAATCTTCAATACTACTTGATACCTGAAAAGCAAGAAGGGGATTACTATGTCCTTTAAAGGTAAATACTATGATCTTAAATGTATTTAACCCAAGCCACTGTAAAGACAGGGCTGTGATCACTTTATGCTGATGTTGCAATCCTAGGGCAATTACTTATCAGCAATTCATTTGAAATTTAGGAAAACAAACATTATGAAAATCCAAGATAATCCCCCCTTCAAAAAAAGATCTGAGAAAAAATAATTAATCATCACACAAAGTCTTTAGAACATTATATTTCATAAAAGACAATGATAAAAAAGTACAAACGTTTCCATGAGAAGCAAAAAAAAAATGAGTACAAGAAATTACTAGCATGTATTTCAGTGCATTTATGAAGAAGCCTTTCAGATCTAAATAAATAAGTTATTTCGTTCTTATATACAGCACAATGACTCTCAATAGGCATACCTTCAAATACAAGGCAATAGATTTACCATATTACTATCTGTCTGAAAAGCACATAATAAAACAGAGACAAGCAAAGGCCAAACAAAATCACGCAAAATCTGCCTTTTCTTGTCGGGAGCCTCCGAAAGTAAGAGAATATTGTTCTGGGTGTTTTTCCCATTTTGATTTAAAATGGATATCAATCTTTTGGCTGGGAAAGAGTGTAGGCAAATTCTTAACATACAATTTTGTATTTATATAATATTGTAAATAAGGTTTACTTACTGAACACCTTGACACAAAATACAAAAAGAAATTTAAATTTAGATTAGGAAAATACTGATTAAACCCTTCATTGGGCTAATATTTGAACGTCTAACTCCACTGTGAATTAGGTTGCAGCAAACATCTACACTTTTCCCTTTTTTTCTCTACAAACAGGCCCATTCATCATTACTACTTTCTCCAGTTGGAAGGCACTATATAGCTTTCCCAGTAGTGCCCTGGGTACCTCATAATAACTCTATGTACACATGTATGTGTTTCTTGACTTTTAACACTGAAAAATACAAGAGATAGATTATCAGAGGATGTTGGGATAATTTTAAAAGGGCTTCAAGTTGCTTGACTTGATTTGTTTAGAAATGAATTAATATTTTTTCTGTAGATATATCTAGCATTGCTTCTGATGGAGTCAGTAACTGAGACATATTTCCTATTAAGTCCAAGAAAGAGAGCTATAAAAAATAGTTTGCATTTTACAATGCTTTTGTTAACTTTCATGGAGTAGATTTATTTTCGTAACTGGGCAAAGCACTCTCTTACAGAAACATATAAAGTCACTGTAGGTAAAAATTAATTTTAAGTATTCACTTAAAAAGTATAACCAAAAACAAAAGTTGTAAGATGGTTTTCACAGGATGACATACCACAGTGAAAACAAAAACAAACAGAAAAGGCAAAATATTGATTGAAAACCAAAATATTTCTAAAACAAAAATTACTATTAGACGTAATCCAAGAAAATAAGGCATATGATAGAGGTACTGAGTTCTCCTGAAAATTAATAGATCAAAATCAAAACCATTCTATATTTTCAAAAATGTGTTTTCTAATAAGATTCAGAAGCCCTAATTTCCCCCCAAACTAAAATACTTATTATTGGATAATTATGCTTCTATGCCCTTATCATCTCCTTAGTGATCAACAAATGTCAACATTCTCAATCTACTTTCTTTCATTTTATCAAATGAAAAGAAAATTACAATGGCTATGAGACACACAAAATGAACAGATACATAAGTAAAAAAATTTCTTATATTTTAGGTCTATTTTGAAAATATTTCTTAGAAATATACTGGTATAACAGAAAGCTGTCAGTTTTCTCAATGTGAAAGAATTCCAATTATTTTCATGTATACTTGTCTTACCAATACTGCCATAGAAAATGACACTTCAATGTTAAAATTAAAACCTTAGGGCCCTCCCTGGTGGCGCAGCGGGTTAAAGCACTGCACTGAGAAGCTAAAGCCACTTCCGCATGAGTTCGATTCCCGCCTGCCCCGGAGGTGACCACATGGTGTGGCAGACCTCTCCTGACCCGCCCGCTGCTCCCTTCAGCAGTGTACTTCATCGATCTGCCTGTTCTGCTCCCCACTGTCTCTGGTGAATCCTCTCACCGCCCCTGAGCCTCTGGCCTGTACCCCAGTTCTGTATGTACAAATAAATAAATCTTTAAAAAAAAAAAAAAAAATTAAAACCTTAGGTCAAGAATCTTGATTCTGTTTAGGTGAACAACCTGGAAGGCCAACGTAGTAACAACTCTCTCAGACAGATTCCTAGTGTTCTTCATTGTTGAAGAGTCAATTTATAAATAAACAATTGTTTAAGTTTGTGAAAATATCTGAAGGTACTTTAATCTTTGGTAAACTGTAACTGTAGTAAGGATATTGTTTGGTATTATCATGGAAACATCCTCCAAATTTAAGATAAAATAATATACTTGATATCAGGTAGTAAGAACTGTTTTCAGAGAAGTGTCTTATAACATGAATGCATTTAAATAACTGGTTATGTATTTTAATATAATTCTATTGATATGCTTTTAGTGAGGAAATTGTAATGCCAGAGATATAATAAAAATGAAAATAATAGTTTGAATAAAATTGGGTGAAATTAAAAGATTCCTTCCAAACTTAAAAATTCTATCAATATAAGTCTGAGAAGTAAACTTAAATTTGCTTTTTTCTACTATTTGTCTTCATAAAAATAGAATATTTAAGTAATAGTATAGTTCATTTGTATGCCGTATGTACTAGTGGGTTTTCCATAGCTCATTCTTTTAAAAAAATTGTTTTGATTTTTTTTTTTTGGCTTTCTGAACTGTAAATAATAAAAGTGCTATTTGCTATGAATTTAAAAAAAAATAGCATACAAACACAAAAAACCGTGGGAACATTTTTTGAGGCACAAAAATCCCTGACATTTATACCAGAGGTACATGAAAGACATAAAGAAGTCCATTATATCATGTCACATCACAACTTTAAAGATTTTCTTGTCAATACTCATGCAATATGCATAAACAATATGGTTGTGATTTAGCAAAATCTGGTGAGATTGCAAGCAAGGAAAATATAGGAAATCCTAGTAAGGAAGAAAAGTTATTTAAACCTTTTCTTCTTACTCTTTAAAACCCTAAGCGCTGTGACTTCTTCCATACAAAAGGCTGATGGTCTAAAGCTCAAAACTAGTATTACAGTTTACTGTATTATTTGGCTGTCAATTATTGACAGTTCCTTCATCTCACACAAGGATTAACCTTTGTTTAGTAACATAAATTACATTTTCTCTTTTTCCATGCAAATAAAAAAATGCCTATAAAAGTCCAATAAAGGCATAATCAATTACATGCAAATCTGCAACACATCTTATTTTTCAACAATTTGAACACATTAATTTACATCACATATGTACAAAATATGTTTAAACAGAAATAAAGCATTCTCTTCAATTAAATTAGATTTGGGTATAAAAATTTTCTCTTTGTGGGAGCGCTCTCTTAACTTCCAGTCTTTCAAGCAATGACACGGGTCTGCAGTGCTCGCCATGGGAGTGTCTCAGAGCAGAGGGCGAGTGGAAGAAGTTGAGCCATGCATAACCCCACACCGTGAGCACAGAGGAAGCTCGGGGCCTCCTCCCAGAGCAGGGCACTGCGGCACATCCACTCTGACCTCCGTTAAGAGTTCACTACAAGTTTATGATCCGCACTGTGATCCACAAGAGCTACTTCTTTAATAGTCTTCAATTGGAGCTAACTCTGGCATGAGGTTTACAGATATATTTGTATACAACCTATCAACCAGTATTTTTGGCGTATATATTAAATTGTTCAACCCATCGATGTACTGACGCTCTTTTGAATATCTTAGTAATTTATACCTGTGGTGTTAGAGAAAAAAATGAAAAGTACAAAAAAGAAAACTAATGAGGAATATGCTCAAATACATTCTTATAATTTAAGTATTAAAAGGTCTTTACAATATTTGGTTCCTGTGTAAGATTAAAAATCTTTCCAAACCATTACTTTAAATTAGCATTTTTACTTGTCTTAAAAGGCACCTAGGACAATTATTTTGCACTTTTATTACTTAAGCATACTTAAGAAATAAAACGTAGTATATTTTATGTTAAGGAAACAGTGTATAGTTAGCTCTTTGATAAAACATATAAAATATCTGTGTGTGTGTGCATATACAAGCACAAACTGTTTAACTTCTATAAAGAAAATTCCAAAGAAGACATTTTTGGCTTCAATGCACTTTTAAAATCTTGCATACATTAACTAATTTTGAAAGCTTAGTATCTAGAGATAACTTACCGTCCTAAGAACTGGACTTCACCTCGATGGTGATGAGGAATAGACTTGTATTTTCCCAAGTCTCCCTCTGGCCTTGTTACATTATATCCTGCATAGTGAACTCTACAACACAATAGATGGAATTGAAAACAAAGAAGTAAAATCTGACATCAATATGGAGTATGCAAGTTCAATTCACAGTGCAAAAAAAAAAGTAGTCTACTATATGTGCTATCAATAATTTCAGAAAATACTCAGTGAAGAAGGGAAGAAGGGGAGAAATAGAAAATGAAATCTAGAGGCCTCCAAGTTTTTTATCCCAAGGAAACTCTCCTTGGAATGGAAAAATAAAATTTACCTAATAGAACGTAAATCTATTTTTAAGCAATTGATACCTCAACATACCTGTTCCAAAGGTCATCATCTTCTCCTCCCCATCCCCAAAAGGCATTAGGAAAACCATTGATCTTTCTAAATTGTTCCACTGTCAGTCCACTTACACCACCAAAAAACTCTTTATATGGAAGACTGAAAAGAAAGCAGGATATAGTATTCACTTCCAAAAAATGAAATCATAACTGTTTATCACATGAAATCAAGTTTTCAGTATTTTATGTGCTTTGCAAAATGTATCTCTATTTTTAATAAAAAACAATTGTTTATTAAATCATTCCCAGGCAATATAAAGTATACCAAGAAACTTTTTTTTTATGTTCTAGTGAAGGAAGTATATCTAAAGGTATTATGTTAAATACAGCATAAAACACTTGTGGGTTTTGAAATTTAGCATTTAGTATTATTTTATAAGTGTTCAAAAACTGTATTTTCACACCAAAATTAAACTTGGCCAAATATATCAATAGCTATCAATGCAATGCTACATGTTGTCAATACAATTCTGTAAATTAACTGAACTTAAGTATAAGTATACTATTATGTAAGCCAGGATAAATGAAAATTAACAAACACGTCTAGCATTTGCATTTAATTTGGCAATGACTAATTTCCTATTTCTATAAAATCTTACCTGTTTGAATAATACTCTCAAAATGCTCATGGATATTAGCAAATATTGGTAAATTCACTAGTATTTAGAGAAACTACTGGGACTTTTTTTTTTTTTTGAAGCTTCCCTTTTAGTAGGAAAAAATGTATAACTGGATGCTTGTCCTAGTTGGACCAGGGCAGGTGTATTGTTTTTCTCATTCACACTCCCCTTTGCTCCCTACCTTTCCCCTTCAAATTTGGCCTTTGTCCTCTCTCATTTGAGGCTTTTCCTTACTTTTATCATAGAGGTCAAGGCTTTAAGTGGAAGTTGCCCCCTGTGTACTTGTTGATGTGACATATTTGTGGGAGCAAGTGGATTCATTATGCTTATGTTGCCATCTTGAACTGGAAATCTTAGGTCTTTACCTTGAACTTGAGAAAACATAATGCATAGGTGTGTAATGTTTTCTTTTACTAAATTTTACTAAAGAAATCTCTAAAAGACTGGGGAGTTTTTCAACATTGAACTCTTTGTAGAAAACTGTAGTAGGATAATTTAAGGGTGTTTTAGTGCATGAGTAAGTATTGGACAGGTGGCCTTATAGATGATAATATGATAAAAGGTGAAAATTTTGAACTCCGTGTATAGCATCTTTTTTTTTTAATTACAAAGTTTATTTTTACATCATTTTGCACATTTTTTTTTCCATCTCGATTGTAATCCCCGCGGGTTTCCCATCACCAAATCAGCCACCACCATAGTCCCGTGCATTTCCCTCCCTTCCCTCCCCCCCCCCCCCCCATTTACTGGGACTTTTTACTGAGATTTTTTGACAAGTAGCTTTGTATTCGTTTTAAATGTTCATTTTCTATGTGTATATGACATAAAATACTTAACACAATTTATTTAATTAACACCAATCACCACACATACTTAAAACTCTGTCTCTTGAGAGGTGAGACTAAAACCCTAACCCTAACCCTAAAGTGGGGAGTTGGCACAGTGGACTGTAGACCACAGATGCTTTGGCGGTGGGTGCAGTGTGATAACTGCACCTGAAGGGGGAGCCTAGATCTCTGAAATATAGTGATGTAAACCAAACTGCCTCAATAAAAAACAAAAAGGGAAAATAAGGTAAAATTTTATTTTTTGACAAGTGTTTAGAATCTATGCCCTTAGCAATTCTCAGGGTGCTGTTCACTGCTGTCACCTGCTGCACATTACACTCCCAGGTCTTCTCTCTCCACAACTATAAGTCTGTACCTTGCTACACCCCCCCCTCTGCCAACCACCGATCTGTTTTCTGGATTATGAGTTTATACTTTCTTTAGATCAGTGAGATCACACATTTGTCTTTCTCTTAGAAATGACTACATTTATGATTTTTCTTATCTTTCCCTAAGTTATACTCCAAGGAATTTGCCCAATGAAGTTATTTACATCCATTCCTGAATAAATTGCCATGGTCCCAAACGTGCCTTTGGGGAGTGGGGTGTCAGAGCCTCTGGAGATGTCAGCCCAGTGTTGTGCCACAGAGAAAACATGAGCCCACTCAGCACCTGCAAACCAGCAGAGGGAAACCCGGGCAGGATGATAACAAAGCTGCCTCAACAAAGGGGGAAGCAGACTTCACACTGGGGTTGGACAATCACCTGATTCCCTCTCACGGAAGGTGCTGTTTCTTGTGTGACTAACAAAGGTGGGTGCAGTAGTTCCCATAGGAAACTCTGGGGTTGCAGGAGAAAAGTAATTTTGGTGTCATCATGAGCCAAGTGCACCCGGGAGAATAACTGCAACAGTGACCCCCAAAGACAAGCAGTGTCCCAGGAGATCTCACCAGGCTCACATGTGGGAAACGAACGCTCTGGGAATAAGGATGGCTGCGGTCACAGCACTGCTGTATCTCCCACACCACTGCCTGATGCTTACCTGGGACAGCAGCTTGGGAGCAACCAGGGGTCAGTAGATAGAAAGATATGGAAAAGTCTGTGTGCTTATTGACATGTGTCAGCTGGCAAGCACATTCATTCCACTTACTGTTTTAGAAATGAATGACTGCAGTATACCCAAAATGGAAAAAGATGAGATAAAATAAAGGTAGAACAGAGACACTAAATAACAGAAAACAAAAGCTCAACAAGCAAAAATTCAGAAGTGTTTTTCTGAGTATACTGAGCATGTCCAAGCGAGAAACACACTTATTTGAGGACCACAACTTTCAGACCAGCAGCCATCAGCGTGGGGGGGCATCACTGAAGGGTACTGTACTTTTCGTAAGACTGCACCCCATGGCCAGAATCTATGCACAGAATGGTCCAGGCACACACTGCTGCTACCATTTCTTAGATAAGGTTTGCAAGTATATTGTACCTTGCCAGGAAGATTACATGTTACTTACATATACATGTATTTATCCAGCTTTGCTGCAAAATGACGAGGCATTTCTCCACATCCATAATAATTTCGGTCATTTTCTGGTAGATGATCCACATCATGGAATATCACACAGTCCCATATACTGTCTTTCATGGCCTCTTTGAAGCCCACATTGAAAAGCATTGCACGGTTAAAGGGCTGTGTACCAGTCTTCACAGAGAGAAAAGCAGAAAGGTGCTAAGGCTTTGTCTTCTGACAATTTTCCATATTTTTCTAACTAGTTGAATTATGGTCAAATGATAATAAATGTGTTCAAATAAAAAAATAACACAGTTCAGAATTTTCAAATATACCATTTACTTACTGTATTATTTTTTTTAAGATTTATTTATTTATGCATACAGAACTGGGGTACAGGCCAGAGGTACAGGGACGGTGAGAGGATTCACTGGAGACAGAGTGGGGAGCAGAACAGGCAGATCAATGAAGTACACTGCTGAGGTGAGCAGTGAGTGGGTCAGGAGAGGTCTGCCATACCATGTGGGTCACCTCGGGAGCAGGGATCGAACTCATGCTGAAATGGCTTTAGCTTCTTAGTGCTGAGCTTTAACCCGCTGTGCCACCAGAGAGGGCCCTAGACTGTATTTTTTTTTATAGACTGTATTTCTGGTGAAGCTTTCCGTGTGTTGTCAAGAAGAGCAGTAAGAAACTTACATTTGATTCAACAAGTATTAACACTTCTTTTATATAACTAGGTTAGGGAACCTAGCTTCATATTACTAATGCTTATGATTAAATGTAAAGACATTTTTAAAAACACAGCAATTGGAACTTATAATACAAAGCCCAACTTCCTTTATTACAACCATTTTCCCTTATTAATAGGAGAAATATATTAAGGTACTGGGCAAAAAAGTTTCTATTTATATTAGTCTTGCTTCTAATAAAAACTGAGAGCATCTTACCGGACAGAAAGCACAGAAACATATTACACAGACCACTATAAAATAACCACTTCTCTTTATTTATGAAGGAAACACTTTTAAGGTACACTGGTAATAAGTTACATTCTGTATCTAAAAAAAATTAAGGAGTTACCTATACCTTGGCAACATTCCTCAAAATCACTTACAAAGTTTGAAATAAAAAGGAATTATGAGAAAAGCAAATGAGATATGCATGCAGTTGCATCTCAACAAGGAACAAACATTAATTTTTATTCCTAAGGCCTATATTACCTTGAGGTCACAGAAGTCACTTTACATTTTATAGCTCCTTTCCTCACCAGTAAAGTGGAGAAAATAATAAGAAAAAGGATTTAAATTATGATATTATATTAGTATGACATTATCATTTAAAAATGTCTTTGTTAAATGTGGACATAATGCTTCATGGCTTATAATAAAAATTAAAAGTTCTATGTCTAATCCATTTTCATTCTTCAAAAGCAATAAAGTTCTACTGCTCGAGTAGTGTATGCTATTACTTATCTCCATACCTCGTCCATGATTCCCATCTTGGTCACTAAGGATTTATATAGCCGCATCACTGCCCTCCACCCATTCTCCAAAAACAGTTATAAAAATTTTTGCTAAAATCAATTGTGCTGACATTTTTAAGAATTATATATGAGAGCTGAGTGAATTACAATCACTTTCTCTAATTATCATAGAGAAACTGATTAATATTAATTAATAACTCCTAGAGTGATTATTAACTCTTGTTTTCTTAGTGTTTTATATAACTATCAGTAGTTTGTACAGAAATCCTAATGACTATGTCCTACATTTGTAATATGTAGGACATATCATCATTTGAATAAAACCATCTCTCAACCCCTCTACTCCCAAACCAACTCCAACACTGACTGCTCTCGCTTCTTGCTCCTGTCTGCATTCATCTCACTGTGTATGACTTAACATCCTGGAACTTCTCCATCCTCTCAATAACCTGTCTTTTCCTTGCTCTCTCAGTTTGTAGAACCACATCTCCCACTCAGCTTCCTAAGTATAGGTACATGGAAAAAATACATGTAAAGTACATACACATATATTTGTTTTGTCAATGAGTGATTTTAATGCCATTAATCTACCCATATATTTGATTGACATTTGGGAATGAATAAAAAATTCTTGAGTTAAAAATTACTTTCCCCTAGAGTTTTAAAGGCACAATTCCACAATCTTCCAGCATTCAGCATTACTGAGACAGTCCATATGAAATCTGATCCAAAATCATATAAATTATCTATAGTTTCTCCTGTAAGATACTTGTTTTTCATTTGTATTGTAAAATTTTAAAATCACATGCTTCATAGCAGATCTACATTTTATTCACATGCATATGTGGGCCCCTTTAAGCTGAAGGCACATGTCTTCACATCTGGGAAATTTTCTGTATTAGTTCTTTGGCCATTCCTCTACCTCCACCCATGGCCCACTACACCCCACCCTCAATTTTTTTCTGCTATATTTTTTTACAACCCTAATTAGCATGATAGTTATTAGTTATCTATTGATATGTAACACATCATGACACAATTAGTGACTAAAAATACACTGACAGCACAGTGAAGGTACCTTATCTCTACCCAAGACACCTGGGCCTCAGCTGGATGGTAGCTCCTGTACACAGCAGCCAACATGATGCTGGCAAGTCACCTCCTCTCCACAGAGCTACCTGGTGTTTTCATGACACAGAAGTTCTCTTCTCAAGAGCAAGAGATCCAAGCCTTCAAGGCAGAAGCAGTGATGCTTTTTATGACCGCGCCTCAAAGGTCACTTGCTGTCACTCCAGTTAGGCTGTCCAGCCAGCCAGCCCCTACTCACTGAGGACCTTGTAACAAGGAGGCATGGGTCCACCTTAGAGGTGGTTACTCTTATGACCTATTGGTACTCATAGATTAATCTTCTTAATTTCTTCTGTTATGGCTCTATTTTAAAAGTTATTTTCTTCAGTTTATTTTCCAACTGTTCCACTGATTGTTTTGTTTTAGTTATCACATATCATTTAACAATAATTTCCTTATTCTCATTATTCTTTATAGTATCCTGTTTTGATTTAATGCACTCATTATCTTTCTTTCACTATGGATATTAATTATAAATTCTTATTGTTTACTTATTTTCCTTATTCTTCAAGGTTTTCTCTGTCCCCTCCATTGTCTCTATTTTTTACACTCCCATTTGTTTAATCGGTTTAGTCTCCAAGCTTCTTGTGGATACATTCTTCAAAACTGGGGAACATTTGGCTGTTTATATATGATAAGGAAGTATTAAAAAGCTGAGGGGAATCTCCACATATGTATACCAAGGATTATGGTATACCACTCTTGGAAATACACACACACACACACTTTCATTAAGAGTTTGTAAAGGAGGGCCCTCTCTGATGGCACAACAGGTTAAAGAACAGCATTATGATGCTAGCCACAGCCTCTTCAGCTTAAGTTCAATCCCCGGCCAGCGAGATGACCCACATGGCACAGCAAACCTCTCCTGTCAGGCCCGCTGCTCCCCTCAGCAGTGTGCTTTATCAATCTGCTTGTTCTATTCCCCACTCCGTCTCTGGTGAATCCTCTCACTGCCCCTTTCACTTCTAGCCTGTACCCCAGTTCTGTATGCATAATATATAAATCTTTCAAAAAGGAAAAAAAAAGAGTTTATAAAGGAAAAGGGGTAAATTTGTGTACAACCTTCTATATTTAACTAGGACTTCTGAGCTTCTCTTTTGATTGCTTAACACTTCTGGGCACCAGTCCAGAAGAAAAATTACTCTTCTTTTTCATATGTGGTAAAGATATTAGTAGCTCAAAACCACACACTATCAAGTGCACATTATTGAATTAACATTGAGAAGAATGAGATTCAGGGCCCTCCCTAGTGGCGCAGTGGGTTAAAACACAGCACTAAGAAGCTCAAGCCACTTAGCATGAGTTCAATCTCTGCCCTGGAGGTGACCCACATGGTGCAGCAGACCTCTCCTGACCCTCCCGCTTCTCCCCTCAGCAGTGTATTTGTCGATCTGCCTGTTTTACTCTCCATTCTGTCTCAGGTAAAGCTTCACACTGCCCTCGCACCTCTGGCTTGTACCCCAGTTCTGTATGCATAAATAAATAAATCTTTAAAAAAAAATGAGATTCAGATTAAGCAGTTTATCAAGTATGATCTTAGCTGCTTTGAAGATTCTTCATCACATACATGAAATAATTCAATGCCAGGTCTCACGTTAAAATTATAATTAAGGCTATCATGAAAGTAGTTAAAAATTTCAATATTAAAAAAAAAAGTTTCAATGTTATCAAGTAATAATCAGTTTTCAATGTATAGGGTGCATCATTTAAAAGAATATATACAATATTATATATACAGGTTAGGAATTTTGAAAGATTAATTTCCATATACAAGTGTAAAAAGAAACAAATCCAAAATGACACCTTCAGAGTAAAACAAGGGAATAACAGAGGTATGAAGACCATTTCCAAACGGTTCAAATAGTCTAACAGAATTTGTATATATGGAATACTGAGATGAGAAAAATATCAACAAATATAAGATATAATATGAAAAATAGAGAAAACTGTTTCCCTTTAATAGGCAAGGTATAAGATGATTAAAAATATAGGAACATATTAATAATTGGATTAACAAAAAAACTATATACACACACCACTAATAGATTCAATATAAAATGTAATTTTAGTCAAGTATAAAACCAAAGATTTGAATTACCTGGTTGACCTCAAATTAAACACTTTTAAGATTTCTGTTATTATTTTATACATACAGACCAGAGGTGCAGACATGATGAGAGGATTCACCAGAGACAGATGGGGAGCAGTACAGGCAGATGTACTGAAATATACTGCAGGGAGCAGTGGGCAAGACAGGAGAGGTCTGCTGAGCCTTATGGGTCACCACCCTGGGTGAGGATCAAACTCATGCTGCAGTGGTTGCTAGTAGCTTCCCTTGTGCCATCAGGGAGGTCCCTAAGTCAAACACTTTTAAAAAAAATGTATCTACAGGTTTGCTAAGTTCTAGTATACTTAATTACCATTTTGAAAAATATTCTTACCTGTTCAATGACATAAAAGGCAAATTCTAGTCGCTGTTTCTGAAGCATTGGAATCAGATGCAAGAAAAAAATTGGGAGATGTTCATGGCGATTACGGAAAGGAATAAGAACTGCCACCTTTAAAAGAAAATAGTCACATGTAAATAACAGAACAGAAAGCCCAATAATTGACCCTGTAAAATCCCTGATGGCTTTAGAAGTGTACTCTTATAAATTTTCTCACCAGTGATTCAACTGTAGCAAATGCTGAGATGGTCCTTGCTTTGACCACTTACCATCTTGTGGAGGAATTCATGGGCTCTCAACTATTCTAATGGCCTTAACTGTGTGACACCATGGGAAGTCATGGTAAGATCTAAAAAGGTCTAAAATCAGGTCTGTTGATGTTTGGATCTTGTATTGAGAGTAGACAGCCAAAGATTGACTCTAGCAACTGGTTAGGAATTTAAGATTACAGGGAAGACAAAAGGTAATGGCACTGAAGTGAGAAGAGAGTCGAGGAGAACAAGAGCTTCATGGATTTTGAAATATTTAAGAAGTAAATTAAGATGATATATTTATGGATTGGGTATGAAGAGTTGGGGAGAGAGAAGGGCCCAAGAGCAACTTTTTATTTTAAAGATCACTAAGGACAGCTTTATAGCTTGTAAACTGAATTTGATAAAGATTCCCCTTGAATATCTACTATACTGCATATGGTTTGTCCAGGCTAGAGATAATTTAGAGAAAAATAAGATAAATATCATAGAGCATACTTCAAGTTTGATAAATATGTTAACATAGCATTTTCCTTTAATCAAAATGCATAATTAAATGATACATTTTATGTTTAAAATAATCGTAAGCTAATCAGTTTTAAATGAAATTGATAAAAGAATTTTGTTAAAATGCTAAACTTGAAAAATCAAACAGGCAGTACAAAAACAGGTAAATTTGTCTTTTATAAAACAAGGAATTAAAACAAAAATTAAAGAAAAAACATGTACATGGAAATCAAAATTATTTCACAATAGATGAATCTTTCATCTAATAGGAAAAAAAGGTTATTAAAACTTTCAAAATCTACACTAAAAAACACCTCTAAAATGTGATGATTTTATACATTTTATACAACAGGCAAAGTCACAGCTCCCTCTATAGTACCTTAATATGGGGATAGGTGAATAATTATCAATCATCACTTATGCAAGTTCTCTATTTTCTGGACCCAAACTTTGTCAGACAAGCCAAGTAACTGTACAATTCAGCTTTTGCTCATGAAAAGCTAAAATGTTCTTTAGATATTATTTACCTTAGCAATTTCTGAGTTGTTGGCTTTATTATAATTATGAATTCTCTAATAAAAATTGAAATTAAGGCAAGTAGATTTTCAACAGATTATAAATTCAAAATCATTAGATCTCCAATGAACACAGGGGTCAAAATATTTCTAGAATATCTATGTGTCACTCTGTAGTGTAGATATTTAAATAAATAATAAATGCCAATCATTGAAAGTGCACAGGGTTAGGACTTAATACTAGTTGTATCATCAGGACCTGGTATTACATATATCAACAGAAAATAGCAACATTTGTGTATTTTACCATAATAATAAATGAGAAAAAATTAAATTATTAAAATAATTTTATTTAAACAGAACGACAATCTAGTAAAATTAAAGATATCTAAAGTGAGAAACTCCACCACTGCTTTTTTCTTTAATCCTGTGAGATAGCAGGGAAAACAACTGAATGCTCTAAGACTGATACTTTCATATTTTACATTATAAGCTATCAGCCCTAAGAAGGGTCTGGTGCCCTGGTGGTGCCCACTGCGTACTAGTGCTCACTGCGATTTCCACTCCCTCGCACTACCCAGTATCTTGTCTCATGAACCTGTGGCCCATGTGACTGCCAGAGTAATCCAAATCCACATCTCAGAGTGCTGTGTAGCCCATGCTTGGGCTACCGTGGATGCCCTTCACTAGCTCTCTTGAATGGAGACGGGTGGTTTGATGTATCAACTGTTGACACATTCAAGGAATGTCCAGATCAATGCATATTTCAAGCAGTTTTGGTACCACTAGCTTTTCTCTTAGAATTAGAAAAAGCTATGAAAAGTAAAAGAGAGGAAGGAATCAGTTGGTGTGTGCAGATCTCACCACTGACCTCATCTGATGCTATCACTGTGATAATATTTGCCCTTCCTGGTTTTAAATTTAGCTACAAATTGGCTAGCTATGACATAATATAAATGGGGCATAAAAACAGTGAAGGCCACTCCCTGGTGGCGCAGCGGGTTAAAGCACAGCACTGAGAAGCTAAAGCCACTTCTGCATGAGTTGGATTCCCGCCTGCCCTGGAAGTGACCGCATGGCGTGGCAGACCTCTCCTGACCTGCCTGCTGCTCCCCTCAGCAGTGTACTTCGTCGATCTGCCTGTTCTGCTCCCCACTCTGTCTCTGGTGAAGCCTCTCACCGCCCCTGAGCCTCTGGCCTGTACCCCAGTTCTGTATACATAAATAAATAAATCTTTAAAAAAAAAAAAAAAAGCAGTGAAGGCCAATTATAGACAGTTAAGAAAGAGGCTGTTAAATATTGGCAGGGACTATATTCAAGAGATTCCATAATAATCAAATACAATTAGACTGAGTGATGAGTTTAACATATAAAAATAAAAACAGGCAAAGTCACAGCTCCTAATACAGTAATTTATCCAATGGAGCATTTTAAGTATCAAATTTTTAAAAAAAATCTTATAAGGGAACCAAGACTGTTATGAAAAGAAATTATCCATGCCTTAGCAAATTCAAATGAATTAAGCTGTCGTTTTAACAGCAAATACATATTCACATTTTAATGTGACAGTTACCAAAGATTTTGAGTGATATATCTCAAGCAAAGTTTTGTTAAAATAAAACTAAACAATTTCCTAAAATTCACTTGGCATATCCCTTCTTGAGACAGTGAAACAACATCCTCAATAGCTTATAATTTACTGTCTAGAAATTGATCTCAGTGTTCTGTGATAATTTACTTCAAGGCTTAATAGCCTTTGTTTCAGGACACTCTTTTTTATATACCCTCATTTGCTGTTTGAGCCACTCTCGTCTTGATTCATCTTCAGATAAGACAACATCTGGTTATTATCTTCTGAAAACACTTCATCTTCATGAATTGCTCCTCATCACTTCTTGTTCAAGCAAAATTATCCCATTCAGTCTGCTCCCACTTTAAAACCACTAATTTACTCAACTTATGTGCCTCTTTTTCTGGCTTGCTTATTTTCTCTTATGTACATCATGAGAAGATTAACAAGAGAAGTGTTCTCTACATGAATCTCCTTCGCCCAGTTTCTGTCCTACTCTCAAACTTCAGGCACACCACCAACTGCAGTGACCCCAAATGGCGTGGCTTCCAGCTTGCTGTGCTAGCTACTACCACTAAGCCAAGGGGCCGAGCTGCCAAGCTCTTGTTTTCCTGTGATACTTTCAGTTCCATCCACCTCTTCATCATTTCCAGTGCTTAATAGGAATTTCTTAAAGGAGAGGTACTTAGTAAAAAATGCAAATTCTTGTTCCTTCTCTCCAACAGAATCAAAATGTGTGAGGGCACAGTTCAAGAATCTTTAGTTTTACCAAATAACCTGGTAGTCCTGAAAAATGAGCTAAGGTCTATCTTTGAAGAATCTTGGGCTAGAAATGGAACTCCAGAGATCTGAACATAAAACACCTACCTGCTTCTCTAAGATTTTAAGTAGTAGACCAAAATTGTTCAGCCTTCGTACTGAACTCTGCATGGAAAGACAATGTCACAAATAAACACTTTTAATGACCTAAAAAGCATCACTATATACCTCCCTTTTAGAAATAAGCCTGCCTCTATCTTCAACCTGTGGAAAAATCTCCAATCAAACCTGCAGTTTTCAGAAATGCCTTCAGAGAGATGCTAAAATCACTAGTTTCACATATTTTCCAATTATATGGTCAGAAATTAATTTAGTTAGCATTTTCAAGTAAAAAAATATATATATTAACAATCAAGTTGATTAAAGATGTTTAAAATAAATCTAGTTACTTCTTCTTTCCCTGCCTCTCAACTCTGTTCCAAGATTAGAATGGGACATTACTGGAATGCAAACAACAGGCAGAAAGGGATAGAGGAAGAATAATTTAAGTAATTAAATATGGCAAGTATAGTTCACCTCTGAATGATCTCCAAAATCCCTCTCATATCTTCAGTTGCATAGCTCAGAACTAGAGATTCTATTTAAAAGGGTTTTGCTCAAAATTGAAATATGTATGGCATTACCACAGAGTAACAAATAAGAGAATCTGTAGGTCCCTAGGAATTGCACTTTCAATACTGTTTCATGTGGAATTTATAGTCTATTAAACCTAAGTAGGAACTACCTACATATAGTATTACTTTCTTCTGGAAAATGAAAATAAGTCATAAAACTTAAAATCTAATATAGACCACTGGAGAGGGGAAAGAATATTGAATTGTTCCAATCCCAAATTATTCTACTACTCTGCCACGGGGCACACACCTAAAAGTCACACTGTGCCCTACGTGAAAACAGGTACACCTCAGGTAGCGTGGCCTCAGTTCCTAGCCACGACAATAAAGCAAGTCACAAAAAGAATTGTTTTCCTAGAGTATGTAAGTTAGGACATGTACACTATACTGTAGTCTACTAAATGTACAGCAGCATTATTTCTCAAAAGTACCAATCTTAATAAGTACTTTATTGCTAAAAATGCTGGTCATCATCTGAGTTGTTAGAAAAATAGTGCAAATACTATTGCTGATGCAGGGCTGCTACATCCAATTTCTGAAAAAGCACAGTATCTGCAAAGTGCAATAAAGTGAAGCACCCTAAAACAAGGTTAATAATGGCATATTATTCAGTTACTTAAAAAGATGGAATCCTGTCTTCTGCAAAAATATAAATGAAGAAAAGGTATTATACTTAGTGAAATAAATCAGATGGAGAAAGATGATTCCACTCGTGTGATGGATACAAAATGGTAACTGACACATACTAGACACACCCGAAATCAGGATATGAATATCCTCCCCACGAGCTCTCACCAGCTCCGTGACTTGGTGGGCTCTGCCTACAGGTGTCTGTAGTCATGAGGAACAATGGCAAGATGCAGAGAAACCAATCTCTCTACCAAACAGAAGGGAACAAAAAAGTCTGTTTCTACGCCAATCTCCAGAGAAGTGTTCATTAACAGCATCACCAAGATATTGTACATACGCACTTCTATTTTTTAAGTACACAGGTGCAGCAACGTTCAAATGACATTTGAACAGAGAATACACATCAAATACAAAATTTTTGATGTCTTAATTTATCAAGATTTAAAGATATTTTGGTATATTTACTAAAATGCATAGTAACAACCACATTAATTATTAAATACTTGACCTCACCTTCCACCTAGGTTTACAGTCTTTAGGCCTCCAATGACCTCCTGGTTCAATATCTAAATCCTTGGAGAAGAGTTGATGAATTTCATCAAAACTGACTTCACTTACATTGACATTGAGGTATCCCCCTAGAAAGTTAGAAACATAAAGAATTGTTTTAGTATTTTTGCATTAAAGATATGGTAAGACAAGATGGCAGAAGAGTAAAACTACCAGACTCCACTCTTCTTTGCATATACAACAAAAGATGCAGATAAAAACAATAGTCTCTGAAGAATTTCTGGAGGAACAGTCCTTTTGCAAAGAAAAGCAACCTAGTAGAAGGGTGGGGAAAACTGCAATATAGTTTGCTTGCGATCCTATCAGGGTGGCTCAATTCAAGAGAGGGAGGACCAGCAGTGATACATTTTTTTTTTTTTTTTTTTGACCAAAGGGCTCATGCCCACATTGGGAACTACAGAACCTTAAGAGAGGTTACACACAATCAGGTGGCTACGCACATCAGGTGTGGAAATAGAAGGGTCTAATGCCAGAGACAAGATTTGAGAGACATGGAACTAAATGTAGAGGGAGCAGATAGATACCAACAAGGGCAGGCCCTATAATGCTAGGAATCAATCAGAAGGTGAAACACTCCACACCCCTGCCACTAAAGTGCTTGAGCACTTCTCTAAGGTGGTGAATCAGGCTGAGCCTGTGGCCAGCTGGAGCTGGAGCAGTGGGGGCGGCCTGGGTAGAAGAACCTGTGAGATGCAAGAGGTCCACTGTGGCCTTCCACATAAGAGGCTCCTCTTTAAAACTGGCTTCTGTGTTATGTGAAACACCTGCCCCACCACCACCTGGCAACATTGCTGGGCTAACATTGACCTACAACACTTGCTGTCTTCCAAATGGTTTAAATGTCTAGATCCTAACAGCAAAAGCTTTTCCCTCCGGAGAAGGCTCAGTACACATAAGTGATGGGGACAGACCAGGCCAGGCACTACCCAAACCACACTTCTATCCCAACCTCATACCCTCCCTCCTCCCCCAGTGCCATAACCCCCAAGCGAGGACAGGGGAAAGGCTGAAAGGGAGACCACCTTTATAGAGACCATGAGACCCATGCCCCTTATCTACTTGGGATGGTCACCAGGGTGGTGACCTGAATACAATCCAAAACTCACAGTTCACTGATCATTCTGCTCCTGCCACACCTCTGGGAAAAGCTGGCCACAACTGAGGTACCAATCCCCCTGATAGACTAAACTGGAAAGCCAGCAATGTGCAATGCACTTAAACGTCCAAACTAACAAACACATAAAGTTATCAGAGTATCTTTACTAAAACACATTTTCTAAGGTATACTATTGAATACTATCAGATGAGAAGCCATTTTCATTGATTCAATCAAAAGTAGAAGTAAGTTCTTTCAAACTCCTCTTCTCAAAAAAACAGAAACTAACAAATAAGTAAGGTTTCCTGTTTTAAAACTCTTAAGACTCCAGTGACCATATTTTCACAAATAGAACATGTCGTTTGTCTCTAACAGTCTCCCTCCAGTTAGTCTGTGTTCTAGAAGACTTCTGCAGCCATATTTCTCTCCCCAATCCTCTCTTCAGAAGAACAGGAGTAGCTTCCACCAAGCACTGAGGTAAGCTCGAGAGAAGTGTCGAGAGAAGTGTAAATGCATAGTTTCTCAGAGTGAAGTAGGAAGTAAACTAACAATATTTGTGGCTCTTCAAAAGCCAAAACCCACCATTTAGTGTAACAAGAGATGCAAAATAGCTAATCTTAGAAAGTAAATTTACCTAAAGAGTAACCTATGAACTTGCAGAGAATGGGCAAGTTAAGTGAAAACTAATGAGCTAACGTAAGTGCAGACTATCATGATGCACCTGACAACAGAATCTAGCACTGTTATCAAATAATATGCACACAGATATATCTGATGCATTTAATGGTATGCATGATTGCTAAAATGATAGTGATGAAGAAGAACAATAAGCAGTTCATGTAAGAAACTGAAGGTGGTATTCTTCATTCTTTATGCACAGTTAAACCAATTTTTTGCCTTTGTTCACCTTTATTACTTTAACAGCTGTAATCACCAGTACTGTCTGCAGTTTTCTATAGAATTATTTGCAATGCACATGTGCTAGCAGATTAAGAGATGAGTCTTTGACCTGTCTTCTCAATGGGCAGGGTCTCTCATGTCCATCACTAATATACCTGAACTTCATCTCCCTCCTCACTGCCCACCCTCAACCACATTCCTTGAGAGTCCTTTAACCATTTTTCTCTGCACTTACAGCTCTTTGTGCTGAAATCCTAATATCTGAGCAGCTAAACATAACCTAGAGGCATGATATCATCATGGCAAAGGTAATAATAACAACATCTCTTTCTTTGGTATGGGGGAAGGGAAGGTGGAGAAGTGACAGGGGTACAGGTCCCTAGGACAGGCATTGGAAACAGTAAAAGGATGATCTGAGAGAAAGAAGAAAAATAATAAGCACCAACTAGTGGAATGTATTAAGGGGAAGATGCTGCGCACAGGATGGGAAGGAAAATACCATGTCATAGAATGGCCAGGTAGGAGCACTGAGCAGACAAACTAGTGGTGACAAGATTTCCAAATGTCCCTCAGTAGAAAGAATCTCTCAAAGGGCCTGTGATCAGGAGGGGGAGAGCTCCAGTAACTCCCCCCTCCCCCCATACACACTATGTACCCACTGAGGCCACTTTTACCCTGTCTTTGTAGGATATTGCCACGAAGGTTTTGCCAGTGTTCCAGTGCTTTAAAGTCAAGAGCAAAACTGCCTCTTTTACTTGTACAGGATGTTATTTTCTAGCCAAACAATTTTAAAATTGTAAATAGTCAACCCATTGAATTACCTATAGTTATATTTTTCTTACATCTAAGGTAAAATTTAAAGTATACAGTCTCTAGCCAAGAAGGAGTTTTCTCTATAAAACAATAGTTTTAAATGTCTCCTTCACTTAGTTTGGAGCCTGTATTTTTTTTTCTTTTTTTTTTTTTTTTTTTTTGGATATTTTAATGCCAGTTAGAGGTATTTGGGCTTTTGTTGTCAGTTTCACCCTGGAGGTTTCAAAGATGATGCCCAGTGATCTGCTGGCAGTATTAGATAAAGACCTGGATTTCCTCAGGAAATACTCCTTCAGGTGAGTTCTTTCTTCTCCAGAACAGAATACAATAGGAAACACATTTCAAGCCCCCCCCCCCTGTGCACCAGCTGAGAACTAACCTGGGATAGTGGTGACAAGAGTTATCTTCCCCTGAGACCATGGCCCCCTTTGCTGCCAACATAAGAATCTGCTTTCTTTAGGCTTATCTTTGTGGAATTTCATGACCTCTGCTTACACAAAGGAAATCTTAATTGTTCCTGAAACAAGCAAATCCAAGTATTCTAAGCAGTGATTTTTAGTTGCAGTGGCTACGTACACAAATTACATAGGGAATGGCAAAGTTAGCAATGCCCAACCCTGTCTCAAATTTTTCCTTGCTTCCTTCCCACCTGCATTTCCATGCCTGGGCTCTATCAGGCACTGAAATCTACTTGTAAGACAGTTGTACAAACATCAATCCCCAAATGTAGCTTAGCATCTTGTCTTTATCCCAGCCACATATACAGTCCTTAAGACCCATTTTCCTTCTTTGCATAAGGTTTCTTTTGCTTTACTCTAAATGACTGACTATAACCTTCAGTTAACCACCTTTGTTGTCCCACCTTTGCTTGGAACAGTACCTAATAAACCTTTTGACCCCAGTTGATTCTGGTGCAAATCATTCCTGACCACACATAGAGAAACACAACTGTTATGGTCCCTCATAATGGACTGAACAGGTGGGTCCCCTCCCCCCACAAGTTATATGTTGAAATCCTGACTCCCAAGATGATGGTATTAGATGGTGGGGCCTTTGGGAGGTAGTTAGGTCATAAGAACAGAGCCCTCATGAATGGGGTTAGTATCCTTATAAAATAACCCTTGTCCCTTTCCCCATGTGGGGACAAACTGAGAAGATGGCCATTTATGAACTAGGAAGCAGGCCCCCACCAGACAGTGAATCTGCTGATGTCTTCATCTTACACTTCCAGCCTTTAGAATTATGTGAAATAAATGTTTATTGTTTAAGCTACCCAGTCTATGGTTTTTGGTTTTTTTTTAAGATTTATTTACTTATGCATACAGAACTGGGGTACAGGCTGAAGGTACAGGGGCGGTGAGAGGCTTCACCCAAGACAGAGGGGGGAGTAGAACAGGCAGATCAACAAAGTACAGTGCTGAGGGGAGCAGCGGGTGTGTCAGGAGAGGTCTGCCATGCCATGTGGTCACCTCTGGGGCGGGAATCAAACTCATGCTAAAGTGGCTTGAGCTTCTTAGTGCTGTGCTTTAACTGCTGCACCACCAGGGAGGGCCTGGTATTTTTGTTTTACTAGCCAAAAAGGAGTAAGATAAACTTATACACTCACATTCTTACTTCCTCTCCCTTCCTGATAATTTCCCACTCTCAAATTCCCTACCCAAAAAATACCACAGAAGAAAATCACATAGGCATAGAGTAATATCATTTAGGTGACAGTATACTGCCTTGAATACACTGAGCTTTCAACAAAAATAAGCACATTTTTACCCACAGGGGTAATCTCTTAGATAACTGATCAGTTGCCTTTTTGTTTATGACTAGTTGCCTCCATTTTTCATTCCTTACAGCCACTACCTTATGTAAATACATGCTTGCATTCCTAATTTATCAAGGACAAAGCAGCCGCAGGGATCAACCCCATAACTTTCCCCACTTCATCTTTAGCTGAACTTGCCTCAGTGAAAGAGGAATTCATTATTTCCCAAGGCTAACTAACTGTATGACTTGAACCTATTTCTGTTTCTTGTCATTTTCCCCAAAAGCTGGCTCCAAGAAAGCTCCCACTGCTCCTTTATCCTTATTTTCTCTTGTCTGCACATAGTTTCTCTCCATAAAGCCTAAAACTAAAGTCATATCCTCCTAAGAGCTTTTCCCTTCGCCCTTCCTCCTCCACAGATCCCTACCTCCATTCTCCCTTCCCACCAAACTTAGAAGGACAGGTTGTTTCTACCTACCACGCTAATGAAATTGTGCTCATAC